ATATAAGATATATATAATACTGCTATGATTTGATATTGCCATTTAGATGCAATATTATTTCTAGAGCCTAAATTAAATTCTTGCTTACAAACACACAACAGAATAGCTTAAATCGATTCATAATCAAACACACAACAAAATTAAACAACATACAATCTGTCTAGTAAAAGAAACTGTTTATAACCACGATTTTCTTCACATGTGATCAATGTGATTCAGGGTACTTAGTAAAGGCTAATGACATTAGTAGAAGAATAGTATAGTCAGCCAGAATAGTACGAAAAATAAATCTGCAGTCGCGACGTGAAGGACTAAGAAAACTTTAATATTTTTGTCAGGCAGCTTAGCCAATGGCATGTAATAGGGCGTTGTCGAAAAAACATTGCTTAGCAAGCATATGTGCCGCAAAGCTCGAACAAACATTGGAAAGAAAACACGTATATACTCGGGTCTAGACTTGACATCTAATGCAACAATATCCGAGCGAGTGGAGTGGAGCTTTAAGCTTCTCAGCCAGATATGCTTCGACTGGCACTTCAGGCACCAGAATCAGAAGCAGAAATCAACAAGTAGCGTAGTCCCATGCAGCCTTCGTTAAGGTAATCGTCTCTAGCGGTCTGGCGTTCACAGCGTTCGGTTAAGTTGACACTGCGCCACCTTTGCTCGACGGCAGTCGGCTGTAACGCGCGCGTGCTCCTCGTCGTCGCTGTCCCTGGCGGACACGAAGCGGTGAGTTCGACGCGTCAACGCGAAGGTGGCCGTGCGCGTGGCAGGCGCCGCACCTCGTCCACGCGACGCTTTTTCCCGCCGGTGCGATTGCAGAACGCCTCACCTGCGGACGAGACGGGCGAGCGTACGATATCGATTATCAAGTACAGCATACTACCGCACGTGATGGCTCACCTCGGCATGCTGGAAGGTCAGGTTCGAACCTCCCGGCCTGGTTATACCCAAAGACTGAAAATGGTACACACAGCTATCTCTTGCTTAGCATTCAGGAGCAAATAGAGATACGAGCGTGGCAATTAATCGCAGTGCTACTCAATGGACTAACCCCCTACTGTACGCATTTCATCTGTGAATAGGCCAGCTGGCGGGGCACTCAGCTTATTTGAAACGAGATACAGCCACTGTCCTATGCGCTCATACTAGCGCTGGGATAGGATTTAACTAACTAAGCATTAAACTAAGTACAGGCATACAGCATACAGCGTAGATCATCTATACAGCAAGTCGCAATTAACGCTTCTCCGCCCCCCTGTGTTGTGAAGGCCGGGGAATCCCAGAAAATGACCAGAACTCTACGACACGGTGAACACCGCCGAGCTGTGAAGCAGTGTACAGACGTCAACACAGCAGAAAGCTATGCAGAAGTCGGCGTGTCCCGCCCCCCCCCCCGCCGCCCTGTGAATTATAGTATTGTGTCTTTCTACAATGACAGCTATCACCTTCGCCTTCATTGATGGTTTAGAGACGCAGAGTAATGCCAACACAGCAATGTGTTTCCTATAGGATATCAATCACGTAACTTTCCACCTCTTCAGTCTCCTCACTAGATAGGCTTAAATAAAGTAATAATAAAACCAATACATTGAAAAGTTTCATTAGTAACGATAGTCGTTACAGTGTTCACAAACAAATCAAAAATCGACTAGCTGTCCTCAAAATGTACAGTTATTATATAGCCCGTAGTGTAATGTACATTATCTGCATTCATATGAACCCATAATTGCTTCTTAAGACGTTTAGTAATTTTAAGCTGCTATACATGCATTCCTTCCGTTGCCAGCCGACAATTTCTCGCTATCAGGAAATAAATGAGGTATTGACCGGATTTTAATCAAACTCTAGACAGTGGTCCGATGTCTACATTTTAATTCAAACACATAATAATAACAATATAACACTAATACAGTATGTAATAAATACTACACTTACGTTTCATTCTTTCCTAAAATACGCTGCCACAATGGACATTCAGAAATACCTATTCCCACCAATCTGTTATCAGATGTCCGTTTATACCACTAGCCGGCCAACATACGCCTGCCCAACAACTAGCGAATAGAAGGCCACACATGCTTGCCCTATAACAGAATAAGAAATATATCACATCATAGGATGTATCTCAATTCGATTGCATCTTGGTAAGGAGAATGAGAGGGGCCTATTGTCCATTGTGCATTTGTATAAGAAAAACATGATTCCCGAATGTTTAAGCGGGGACAACACGGCTGTTTTTTGTCCGGCCCCTCTCTGCGTCTCTGTCCGCGCACTTTCCCTGGTCCTTTCAAAATACAAGTGATAAAATGGTAAGGTCCGCGCGAAAACAAAAACAGTTTTTCACTCTGTCCATTAGGCCATCGGTCCTTCTAGAAAATTCTGATATCTGACCGTTTCGCGTACTGCCTTTGAGCGACGTGTGACCTTCCCAATTTCTCGCACTGGTGATGTTATCGCTGCCATCATAGCAGAATATTAAGACAATAGTCTATATCCGTTAAGATTTTTGTGCCGCAGATCGTTATTTTCCCTCCTATACCTTAAGTAAGCGGAAATATTCCCACCCACACCCCTCCACCCAGTTTCACAACAGTCTCTGAATCTTCGTTTATAATCGCACATTGCAAAACCTTAGACGCGCTGTCCACAGAGCGCATGTTGTTTTGCTCGTCCAATCGCGCTGTGAGTTCATACTATACGTTACCGACCCCCGATTTACAAGACTGCGCGAATCACATTGAGAATCATATGCTAATCACGTGACGGCACAGTGACTCGTTGAGAGGGCCATAGTTGGAGCAGTGTGTGCCAGTAGGATCGCCGTTAGTAGTGTATACGCCGCTGCGGATCCTGTGGCGAATAATATTTGCATCGGTGTGTCCGCTCAATTATCGCATGACGGGGGTGCGCGAATATTTATCGCTGCGACTTGTCTTCGCTTGCGATATAGAGTCGCAGCGCAGATGTGCAAATAAATTCCGCAGGCGTGTTGTCCCATGGCGTTGATACATTCAAATCATGTCTTCTCTATAGCTATATGGACGTGTGTCACTGACTGAATTATTATAATTCACTACATTTAGTTCCTTATGCTAACCAAATATACTTACTGCACGCGCAACAGAAAATTTCTCCCAGCCCACAGCATGACTGCCAGTGGATAAGAATGTGCGAAAGTCTAGTACGCCAAACACTGATGATAACAAGGAGCACAGGCCAATTGCCAGATACCACGCTTGCCTCACAACATCACTGTAATACAGAACAGCACTCTGCGAAATATGTTGCACATCGTTCATATACTATCGCCAAGAATAATTACATGAACGCTAGGGTCACTGTGTATCTGAAATATAGTGGTCATCAATTATGGTAAACGTGTACTCTTGTAAAAATCACCAGTCAAATTATGAAAAGATACATAAACTAACTGACGAGTCCACCAATGAGAGTATAAAGAGCAATTAATAAAAAGCACAACAAGTGCCGCAGAGGCGACAGCCGCTCTACTCTGACGCAGGTGTTCGGTATGCTAACTCCCCCGGCAAACGAACTGAACGAAGCCAAACCTCCATCACCTGCGTTCGCAGCACATCAGAGCATATATCTAGGATACTACTTAATTACAGATCTAAAAATCTATGATAGCATCGGCTTGCTATAACCCGGTAGTACAGTAATAAAGAACAGCTGTGTAACTTTAATGACTTTGGCTATACTTAACTACTGTTATCATGGATATGCGTCGAGCGCCGAGCGTAGTTGGGGTGGTGGGGGGAGAGTGGGGGGAAGAGGCCGGGTGAGGAGGCTCTAATAGCATAACCACTTTGCTCGGCATATGCGGCGTGCAAGTGTCCATACAATAATGCCAAGAGATGGCATCACCCTTCGTGCGTGATAACCTCACTCCATTGAGTTGCTGAAATCCAAGTATATTCAGGCAGCGGCGAGAATATTTCGCTCAGCTGTGATTAACACGATCTTGCATTGCAGTTGCCCAGGTCAATAATTATGATTTAGAAATATGCCAGTTCACCCCCATGCATGGGTAATGGGCTGCCCCCATGTTTTTGCCTACCCAAACGAGCATTCAGGGTTCATTACAGTGTGCTAATACAGGGTGCTACTCAGGGTGCTAATACAGACTTCTTTAGAAAATAATATGATTTAAGGAGCGTAAACCTTGTTCAACAAACATTTGCCTTTGCAATTCAACTGTGCAACTGTAGCCTCACATCCACAATAGCAAAAGCAGTTCAGTCCTTTGTTAACAGTCAACAAATCCATGTTTAACCCTCCTCTTGAGGGTCAAAAGGTTATCCGACACTTACTCTTCGCATGTACATTTCATGGTCCTTTCAATAAAGCCATAAAAATGCTAGGTCCCCGCTGAAACAAAAACGTTTTTCAATCGCTCCGTCAGACCATGTCCTCAGAAAATGTCTAAAATCTGCCCTGTCCCCCATTGACCTTTGACCTGTGACCTCCAATTTCGGTACAGTGATGGCTTTTCCTACCATGATGCTATACACCGACTATCACGAGCCTAGGTCGAGCCATTTAGATTTGTGTCGCAATTCTGCATTTCCTCCCTATACCTTAAGTTAAGGAGGGAATGTTCTGCCTTCTTTTACAGCTCTTGACCTTTGACCTTTGACCCCCAGCTTTGACATCCCAACTCGTTTTGACAATAACCAATAATCCCAACTCCCCCCCCCCCCGACGTCCCAAATATCGTGACCATACGTCAAGCGGTTAAGATTTGTGCCCAACTGTTGATGCACGGACGCACGGCCGGACAGACGCACGGCCAGACGAACGCACGCTCATGCGATTCTACAAGATGCATCGGACTATGTCAGATGAGCTAAAAAACAGGTTGAATAACCTATTCATTTCAGTGTCCACTAAATAAGTACATAACGAATAGATTCACTGCTAGCATCATAACTTGTAGAGCTTGGGACATCGGTCAATAATGCCGGATATAAACTCACAATGATTCCTCCAAGAAAAGGGGACATCAACAAGGAAACATCATACACAGCCCCAACCATGTAGTCTGCCTTTTGCTCATTGTAATCATACTTGTCTTGAATGAACTTGCTGAAAGATAAGTTAGAAATGTATATAAACATAAATGGACAGGGTGAATGATGGGGTGAACCCTAACTCTAGGTCAATTCGAACATTATTTGCTAGTTTTAACTCTACTATGGAAGTATTGACTCATACTGTAGCTATGCATGTAATGCAGAAATATGGAATGGTATCAAATTGTGGAATTTATTATACTAATCATTATACTACAGGTACATGTATATGCATGCACCTATACATACAGGGAATTATGTATAAATATTCAATATACACAAGCTCATTGCAGGAGAATATATACGTACATCTATACAATTGGATATACTTGTATACAATTGTATATCAACGAATAAATTCTACACATATACTAATAAAATGAGTGATAACAGACTATATAACTCACCTAGCATCAGCAACAAATGGAAATATACCATTGTAGAAGAACATTATGGAAACCGCCAACAGCCAATAGCCGAGCGAAAAATACTTTATGTCCGTGAACCGCTGTAACAAGAAGAGAGTTGCAAATGTTTGTTATCTATCAGCTTAATTTCCACCTGTCAGGAGGTTTACTCACAATTCCCCAAATGAATGTCAAGCAACACAGATAGTCGCAGCTTGCGAACTAGGAATAAACGCAAAATGGGGCATACGATAAACACTTCACGCATTGAAAAAAATATATATAGGAAAAGTATCAAGACCTGTACAATTTTCCCATTGTTTAGAAAATAGCTCTCATGGTCTATCTAGGTTTGTTTTAAGCAACCATCCTATACTTTATATTAAAAATCCCCGATGAAGTAACACACCATCCATAATACTGTATCAAACATTTACCTAGCAAATTGACAACAATGTAAATGTCGATCACTTCACAACATTAATTTATTGCTATGAATAGGATCTTCTTTCCTAAACCATACCAGTTTCTTGGAATCTGAACTCTGCTTTTTATCAAGTCCAAGCTGTTTTACTCCGCCCTTGTCCAGCACGCTGACAATCAGTGCTGATACGAATCCAACACCGCACAGTACGCTCCCTGAAACAATTTGTATCACATTAAAAAGAGTTACACCCCATTGCCGAATGGAACCACAACACATAAGCATGCATCCAGTCTATAATCTTACACATAACTCTGAAGAAGAGTTGGGCGTCCAACTAGAGGGATACGACGTGTTCTTACCAGCCCACAGTGTTAACTGTAAGCCGAATCTTTCCTCGAAGCTCTCTGTGAGGAGGAAGTTTAGCACACTGCCTAGCCTGGAGAAGGCGAGTGTCAGCCCAAAGGCCATTGCGAGTTCTTTACCGTCGAACCAGAACGCCGTTATTCTGTTCTGTACAACTGAAATCACGCACCAATTACATAGAGATTGTTACTGATGTGTAAAAACGTGGCAAATTTTATTTACTAAAATAGATCTTATCAAGAATGCAAGACACATATCATTTGTATTTGGGTGAAACAATTCTAGACTTTTGTTACACCAACAGACTTAGTGACTTGAATACAATTAGACAGCATAGTATACAATAACTTTAATAAATTCTATTATATACTTATCCCGTAAAAACACAGCTAAATTTGCACAGAACACGTAGAAACAACAAAAAACACAACACCCACAACAACATAATCATACTTGTCAGTGACCCGTTTCCTGACCCAAAGAGTAGACGTCCAAAGAGCATAATGGGGAGCATTGTGGTGGTTCCTTGAAAGGTTGTACCAAGAGCAAACGTTGCTGATCCCAAGAGACACAGTAAAGAAAACAATAGTACACCAACTGAAACAAAACACAACAAATTTAATGTCAAACTCCTAACAATTAATATTACCATGCATACATTGCTGACAAAATCCCTAAGGTTAAGATGCTATATCCATTCACCTTTACAAGTTATACTGCAGTCATACGTAGTAAACACTTCAGATTTATTATACTGCTACATTATTGGGTCTATATCCACTTAAATGACCTGCTTGAATTTAGCTTTTAAATAACTTATATGTTAACTTTGTAGCATACCATCACCCCTTGCAAAATTTGGTTCCCACGTACATGTTCTAATATACTCCTTCAAGATGGAGTACACGTACAATAATTGAAGGCACACAGGTACTCACCCACATTACCAACTTTATCAACAAAGAAACCAGCTGCAATGACAACGACTGCATTTCTGAAACACAACAAAGGCATAAATAATTAGCGAACTATAAACCAGGGATTCAAAAAACGGTTTGGTATTCACATCTTAATTTAGCAAACAAACGACAGATTGAGTTAAAATAAACCAAAACTATCTACTTACGTCCAAGCGTAAATGGCGTATAGCAAGTTGTAGTCACTTGGACTCATTCCCAAGCAGTCTGTGCAGCAGTCAGTAGTATTGCCTTCTGTGGTGTTGCCTGTACTACAGTTTGGACTCTAGTGAAATGTTATATATATGTCATTATGATGTGAGATCTGCTATTAAATTAATTAATGCACCATTAAATCCAGAGACATATTATACAATATCATTTGTACTACTGTCCTTAATTGTAAAACGGACTTGTTACTCTTAAACAGAATCAGTCAAAAAACATGCATTCTGTGAATGAACACATTTTGATTTTAGATGACTCAATTGTACTTAAAAAATAATAATTTTATAGAGCTTTGTTGTATATTTACCTGTGTAAACTGAGTCTGTAACACACTTGGCATGTCAAAACAGTAGTATGACCCAAATGTTAGCATACAGTTGAAGAAAAGGACGACAAATCTGTAATATGCTGCAAAAGATAGAGATGTTACAACATGTAATTTTGTAGATGGGTCAATTTATGAGTTGGCTGCCAATTTTTAAATGAAATTCCATGCAGCATGTCTGCACCTGATCATATCACAACATATATCGTATCCAGTGAGTGACAGATCTAGAGGGGGTTGGGGGTTGCACCCCCCCCCCCCATTCAGCCACTGACTAATGTCATAATACCACTGCTCATAGGGTCTATGTCCCCCAGGGTACTGCCGGAACGTACCCTGGGTACGGTCCGATATACCAGAACGTACCCTGGTAACTATCTGATATGGTTAGGGTTAGGGTTAGGGTTAGGGTTAGGGTTAGGGAGTAGGCGTAGGCAACTCCCTAGACTCGAGCGTTAGTGCAATAGGCGAGGTACGGTCCGGCATATTAGATAGTACCACTACCAGGGTACGTTCCGGCAGTACCCTGGGGGACATAGACCCTATCAGCGATACTACTACTAGTAGTGCTCATAGGGTCTATGTCCCCCAGGGTACTGCCGGAACGTACCCTGGTAACTATCTGATATGGTTAGGGTTAGGGTTAGGGTTAGGGTTAGGGTTAGGGAGTAGGCTATAGACTCGTTAGTGGAGTAGGCGAGGTACGGTCTGGCATATTAGATAGTACCAGGGTACGTTCTGGTATACCGGACCATACCCAGGGTACGTTCTGGCAGTACCCTGAGGGACATAGACCCTCTCAGCACTACTAGTAAAATGGGGCCAAAACTAAAAATGTCAGTCTGCAGGGAAGTGGCTGTGAAATATTACCTGCAACAACATGTGGCACACACATCCATGATTAGGCTTGGCAACCAATTTATTTTGCACTATATCAACTTGCATGTCATAAACCTCATATATATATATATAACCCTAGTTGATATAATGAGCCAAGTGGCAATTTCACGCCTCGAACATTTTTTTGTTTTTTGTCTACCAAACACACTGCTTATGTATGCATGGTCACTGTCATTTTGCTATTATCAGCTTGACCATTCCTGCTTCTCTAGCTTCCAAGTTTGCACATACAAGGCCTTACATTGAGAAAATTCCTAGGGGTGGGGGCAGTATTTCAAGGAAGGGGTGAGAAACAGGTGGGGGTCTGGGGGTCCTCCCACAGAAAATTTTGATAATGTAGATCGCAGGAGATGGTAATTGGTATTTGAGTAGCTCTAGAACTATAGCCATCTGCTCCGCCGCAGGGACCTCCTGCGGCGGAGCAGAGGGCTATAGTTCTAGAGCTAGTATTTGAGGCACTTTTGAGTGCTCACATGTAGTGCACAGCCTTCGATATCATATCATTCTGACAACGACAATTCTTTTACTTTTACTAGACCAATGGAACACAGGGCTACACACACTAACATATAGGTAGCGTTACGGCCGGACCTCTGCAACCTGTTTTAGAGTGAAGGGCCAGTGGCTATAGCCTGGCCCTAGGGATGTGTTGCCCCTGTAGTTGACTGTGGACTGCAGTAGTGTACTCTGTACTGTGGTAGTGTGTAGTGACACTGTCACTGACACCTGTCACCGAGTCAGATCTGAACTTACGAAAAGAAAAATATATGGAAATTCAGAAGTATACAAATCTAATATACGTGAGGTGCATACTGACAAACATCATATGACTTACTTTTTGATGCGTGCAATAATGCCATTTTACGTTTTATTTACGTTGCCGTTGTTTTCATACGTTGTTTACTAAACCACAGCAATGACGACCACCGCGAGATGGCGCCAAAACGCAACTAAGTGAATCACCAGCCTACGACGCTATTTGATCACCAGCAACAGCCGAACTTATTTGTTATTTGCAGTATTGGACCTGTCCGTCGTTATATATCTGTAAATTTACTTAGGAAAAACATTGCCAAGAATGTCAAAGTTACAAAATCGTCGTAAACCTCAGATGAATCCGAAGTTTCGTGCAGCTGCAGCGGATGCTGCTGCGGCCTGTGGCACTGGAGACGGTGGTGTCGGTCCTACTCTGATAAACAACGCGAGAAAGAGTGGGGAATTGAATTTGTCGAATAGAGGTTTATCAACGGGTGAGTGGTTAAACAGTAAAAATATGAAACAGCAAGAGCATTAGTTACTTGCCGACTTAGGTTGGTGTCCTTGTAGTGCCTATAGTGAGTAGTGGTATAAGTAATACAAATACTGAAATAGTAATAGTAATACTAGTATTACTATTAGTTTAACCTTCGCCAAGGGCAGGAGGGGTATGTTTTCACCGGCGTGTGATTGTTGGTTTGTGGGTTTGTTTATGTACAGCCTAACTGGAAAAGTTATGGACGGATTGTCATAAAATATATATATATATACTCGCCTCTCTTCGTTCTTCTACTTCCTCACTTCCAATTACTCCCCTCTCGCGGATGATATCGCCCACGACCAGTCGAGCATATATGGGATAACTTTTGCAGGTAAACGAAGAGAGGCGAATATATATATATTCGCCTCTCTCTCTCTTCTCTCTCTATCTCTTTCCTCCTCTCTCTCTCTCTCTCCCTATCTCTTCTCTCTCACCTCGCTCTCTCTTTCTCTCTCTCTCTCTCTCTCTCTCTCTCTCTCTTCTCTCTCTCACCTCTCTCTCGCGTACTCGCACACTCTCGCTCTCTCTAGCGCGTACGCTCTCTCTCTCTCTCTTCTCTCTCTCACCTCTCTCTCGCGTACTCGCACACTCTCG